TTGTCTATTTAGCATAATTTCCATTAAACATTTTAGCATTTCTTATAGCACCATTCTACTTTAGATATAATCTTTCGGGGGGAGGGGGTTTCTCCCAAGGAAATGTGTTTATTTTGCCTTCATTTTTGTAGTGTATTTTTGTTAGATAAAGAATTTTAATTTTTAAAAAATTTCCTTTAAGCATTTCAAAGATTTATTTTATTATCTTCTGGCTTCCATTGCGTATGGTAGGAGGTCAAATGTTATTTGTATTATTTGTTCTCCTGTATGTAATGTTTCCATTTTTCTCTGGCTGCTTTTAAGATTTGCTCTTTATATTTTATTATTATCAGTTTGACAATCAGTTGTGGTTTTCTTAGGTGTGCCCTCCTGTGGTTTGCTGAGTTTCTTATGTTTTTCAACAATTTTGAAAAACTTTCAGTCATTATTTTTTCAAATATTTCTTCTCTGCCCACCTCCTACCTGCCTTTTGAAAGCACCAATTACACATGTTAGATTATTTGACATTGTCCCACATATCTGAAGTGCTCTATATCTCTTTTACACCCTTTCTTCATCTATTAAATAATATTGTAATATTACTGCATAAGGTTATTGTGAGAATTAAAGGGTTCAATAGAAGTAAAAGGCTTATTAGCATAACTGGCAATACTAAACACTGAACAGAGATAAGCAGTTATTATCATAACCATCTTCTCCGAGAATTGTTATATCACCATATTTAACCAGATAGATAATCTGTACGTCTTTGAAGAGTGGCTCTACAGTTTTAGTTACTTGAGAGGTAAACATATGCTGTAGTACTTTCCAATCCATGTATGCTCTCTGAATCCTAAAATGTGCTTTCTACTATAATAGGGTTGGTGCTTGTTATCCCTTAATTGTCTAATGTTTTTCTTAATAAGATTGATCACATAAGGATCACCAAAATATGATCAGAATTACAATAGTACGATGACCAATAGTTATGAACAATCTGACGCACTGAATAGCTATTTTTATGCATATAATGGAATTGTCTTTGAACCACCAAATAGGCAATATTATCATGTGCTAGCACTCTGCTTGGCTTAATGAGAAGGGAGGTTATGTGACTCTGTTTTTCACTTTCTTGGTCTTGCTCCCCTTACATTTGCTGCATGACTTTTCCATCACTGTTCTTACCAATGTCACATAGATCGTTAGTTAATGACTAAGACAGTTCCAGAAACCAGATTTCTTTCTTAGGAAAGAACTCTTCTATTAAATCTTCTTGACACCCTCTCTTCTATGGAATGATAGATTACAAAACTTTCAATTCTTTGTAGGTCTTAGTTCTCTATCTGTTGATTTTAAGTGTCTATTTTTACCTTTTTTAAAATTGAATTTATTGGGGTGACATTGGTTAATAAAATTATTAAATTATATACATTTTGGGTGTACAAGTCTATAAAAATCATCTGTACATTGTATTGTGTGTTCACCATCCCAATTCAAGTCTTCCATCACCTTTTATTCCTCTTTACCCTCTTCTACCTCCCTCCACCTCCCTCTTCCTCTGGTATTCACCATACTGTTGTCTGTGTCTGTGTTTTTTTTTTTCTTAGTCCCTTCACCTTTATCATCCAGCCCTGAAAACCCTTCCCCTCTGACAGCTGGCAGTCTGTTCTCTATCTGTGAGTTTGTTTCTGTTTTGTTAGTTTATTTTGTTCACTAGACTTTACATATGAGTAAAATCATATGGTACCTATCTTTCTCTGACTGGCTTATTTAAGATCCGTCCATGCTGTCATAAAGGGTAAGATTTCCCTTTTTTCTTTTTTACAGCTGAGTAGTTCTCCACTGTGAAAATGTACTGCAGCTTTTTTACCCTTTCATCTCTTAAAGGACACTTGGACTGCTTCCAAATCTTGACTATGTGAATAACACTGCAATGCACATAGAGGTGCATATGTTCTTTCAAATCAGTGTTTCGGGTTTCTTCATACATATTCCCAGAAGTGGAGTTGCTGGCTCATGCAGCAGTTCAATTTTTAGTTTTCTGATATAACTCCATATTGCTTTCCATAGTGGCTGCACCAATCTGCATTCCCATCAACAGTGCACAAGGGTTCCCTTTTTCCACATTCTTGTCAACACTTGTTTGTTGATGGATTGATGATAGCCATTCCAACAGGTGTGGGGTGATATCTCATTGTGGTTTTAATTTGCATTTCTTGGGTTATTAGTGATGTTGAGCATCTTTTCACATATCTATTGGCCATCTGTATGTCCTCTTTGGAGAAGTGTCCTTAGCCCATTTGTTTGTTTTGTGTGTGTGTGTGTGTGTGTGTGTGTCTATTGAGTTGTGTAGGTTCTTTATAAATATTTTATATTAACCCCTTATCAGATGTATCATTGGGGAATATGTTCTCTGATTCAGTGAGCTGTCTTTTCATTTTGTTGATGGTTTCTTTTGCTGTGCAAAATTCTTTTAGTTTGATGTAGTTCCATTTGTTTATTTTTTCTTTTGCTTCCCTTGCCCGCAGCAATATCAGAAAATATATTGCTATGAGAAATGTCTGATATTTTACTGCCTATGTTTTCTTCTAGAATTTTTATGGTTTCAAGTCTGAAATTTAGGTCTTCAATCCATTTTGACATTATTCTTGTGTACCATGTAAGAAGGTGGTCTAATTTCTTTTTTTTTTTTGCATTTATCTGTCCAATTTCCCCAACGTCTTTATTGAATAGACTATCTTTAGCCCAGTGTATCTTTTTGCCTCCTCTATCAAATATTAATTAACCATAAAAATGTGGATTTTTTTCTGGGCTCCTTATTCTGTTCCATTGATCTAAGTGTCTGTTTTTGTGCCAGTACTATGCTGTTTTGAGTACTATGGCCTTGTATTGTAGTTTGACATCAGATTGTATGATTCCTTCAATCTTGCTCTTGCTTCTCAAGATTGTTATGGCTATTCAGGTTCTTTTGTGGTTCCATATAAGTTTTAGGAATATTTGTTCTGGCTCTGTAAAATATGCCATTGGTATCTTGATAGGAATTGCATTGAATCTATAGATTGCTTTGGGTAGTACGGACATTTTCATGATGTTAATCCCCCCTCCCCCGCTTTTAAAGCAAACCAGAATATGTCACCCCAAAATATGCTTCTTTGACATAAAATTTGTTAATACCTAAAAAAAAGCAGATGCAAGACCCTCATTTTCTTCCTGAAAGCAGGAGATAAAACTCCCAGATGGAAGATGTCCTCTTTACACCAGAAGGAAAGTAACAGTCTTATCGTCAAGGACAAGCAGCTGAGATTGAGAGAATTCTATACAAACAGACCCTGTGAAAATAAGTTGATCTTCCATTAGCTTCATCACATAGCTTATTTTTCCACAATTGTCTCTTTTTGTTCAACCTAATATAGAAGCTAGTACGTTTCGCCATTTCCTTAGATCTTCATTCCTTATGAGGGCTCCTGTGTCACATAACACTAACTTAAATGTATTTATGTGCTTTTCTCCTGTTAATCTGTCTCATGTCAGTTAAATTCTCAGGCCCAAACAATATACCCTAAGTGTGTGTGTGTGCGCGCGCGCGCGCGTGTTTGTGTGGGGAGAGAGAAACAGAGACGGAGACACAGAGAGAAACAGAGACTTAAGAATGTGGCTCATGTGATTGTAGGGCTAAAAATATGCAGGGCATGCTAGCAGGCTGGAGACCCAGGGAAGGGTTGATGCTGCAGTTCTGAGTCTGAAGGTAGCCTGGCAGTAGAATTCCTTTTCTTCTCAGAAGTCTTCACAGTCTTTTCCACATGGTTCACGCGTACCTATTGACAATTGCTAAAGCCCACTTTATACATGGTTGGCATCTTACTGCCTGGTGCTCCCACAGGGCATTCCAATCTGCCCCGATTTCCAAAAGTTCAGTCCCTTCTCCTCAAGACTTATGTTTCACTTTTAATACATGTTATCACTCCACTGTCATTTCACAAATTAGAAATCTGAATCAAGAAAGTTAAGTAATTGGTCCCCTCCCTCAAGGAATTCACAGCATGGAAGCACAGACTACAACGTGTAAATTGGATCCTTTGCACATTCTGACAATGGGCCTTGAGTGACAGGATTAACAACGGGGCAGATTTCAGAGGTTCTGGGGGAGGCATTTCTGCCCCGGGAGGGCTTCTGCTGCCCCTTGGAGGGTGGTGCGCCAACCGAGCGATGATCAACATCTGTTACAAATACAGATCTCAGAACCTCGCCTAAGACCTAGTAAGTCAGAATTTCCAGGTGCAAGGTACAGGAATCTTTAGCAGACTCCATAGGTGATGTTTGTTTGTTTGTTTGTTTGTTTTTTTAAGGACTCTAAATTGTATTTTTCAATTACGTTGTGCATTTAATATTATTTTGTGTTAGTTTCATGTGTATAGCATAGTGGTTGCATAATCACGTACTTTACAAAGTATTCCCCCTGATTTTTCCAGTGATTCTTAAATGTACACTACTCTGAAGATGCATATTTGGGATTCACTTTTTTTAGGAAAGTGCCTAAAAAGGCAGCTGCTTAAGAGGCCACTGACTTAGAGGAGGAGATACAGAAGGAACTGGAGCAAAGGAGAATAGGACTGAGTTAAAAGAGGAGTCAAGGAAAAAGGCTTAAAAGCCAGTGTTGTGGCCCTGGCTGGTGGCTCTGTTAGTTGGAGTGTTGTCCAGTACACCAAAATGTTGTAGGTTCGATTCTTAATCAGGGCACACCCCTGGGTGGTGGGTTTGTGTGAGTTCATCCCACCAGTTGGGGCAACCAGTCGATGTTTTTTTGTCACATTATGTTCTCTCTCTCTCCCGCCCTCCCTCTCCCTCCTTTCCTCTCTTTTTAAAATCATAAAAAAGCAAAATAAAAATAAAAGACAAAATCCCAAAACAAAACAAGCTGAGTCATGAAATTTGAGACTTCATTATGAAACATTGTTAGTGAAAGTCACATCAGTTAGCCTTTGCCCTGACTGAGGTCATAAATTGGTATTACTGTCACTGGGAACTTAAAAGGAAGGAGCTGCCTACAAGGACTTTGAATGGAAGGCTAGGGTGTTTTGAATGTTACCAAACAGAGAGTAACAGGCAAGTATCCAGAGATTGCTACTTGCAGCCGGCTCCACAAGCCATATTTCTCCTGACGGGCTTCTAGCAGGAGTTCAAGGTGAGTGTTTGGGGAATCAGGGCTGTTATGGCCTCGCAGAACAGGTTTCTGCTTTCTGATTTCTTGGCAGGGCACCTGTGAAGGCTGCTTTCACTTTGCTCTGTGTGTTTCCGTTCATCTCAGCAGGTATCACTGTTCTCAAGTGGGACCATCAATTAACATCTGTGGGGTTTATTGCTCAGAAACACTTGGCTACAAAAGTCACGGTCCAGCTAATGTGAATTTATGGAGAGATTGTTTATTGAATTAAGAATTTTTTTCCTAGGATTTATTGCTTGGTAGAAGGGGGAGAGAAGGGCTCTTGATGAAGAAAAAAAAGCATCAGGCTCCTAAAAGGAATGGAATTTTTGTTTCTTGATTAGTGATGTTAACTTCTGTGGATGAACTTTTGCTTTCTTTTACGTTTTTGATTCCTGCCCCGTGGCGTGTCAGTTGGTGTCTTGCCAATTTTTCACTGCCCTTCCTCTAAATAGGTCAAGTACTCCCAGGGGAGTAGATTTAACCCACTTGCCCCTGGGCGTCTGGAACTGCTCAACAACGGCATTAAGCTTTCAGCTCCTATCAGGTTGTATCTAACCACCGCAAGATTAATCCTGTGTGAGGCCGCTCAGTTGTGTTTTCTTGCCCTCCAGCTGCCTTCTGTACCCTTGGTTTTCTTGACTCTGCAGTGTGCAGAGTCCTGCCTTCTGCTGCAAAGAAGTGAGGAAGCCTGGAAATTTTATATTGGATTTTGAGGAGTCTCTCAGCTTCAGTAGCAGCGTATCAAAAATTCAACTGGGCTTTTATTCTTTCTTCTTCATACTCTTTTTCTGAGAAATTTCACTCAATTTTATTTTATTTTATTTTTTGCTTTTTTAATCTATCATTTATTCTTTCATTTAATTCTTCAAACACTTGCTGAGCAATTAATATGTGCCAGACACTATTTTGGGAACCTAGGAACAGAGCGTTCAACAAGGTATAATTCCTGCCCTTGAGAAGTAATTTATAATCTAATGCAATGCTGTCCAATAGAATATTCTATGGTCATAGAAATGGTCTCTATCTACATTGTTCACGGCAGGAGCCACTAGTTATATGTGCCCACTGAGCAATAAAAATCTGGTTATAATGACTGAGGAACAGTTTTATTTATTTTTAATAAATTGAAATTTAATTAGCCACATGTGGCTAAGACTGACAGATTCAGCTGGTAAAGAAATAATGAGCCCCATTTAGATTCAGACAGCCTGTTACTTATGTAGATAATAAAGATGAGAGAAGTGAAAGGTGCCAGCTCTCTGGGTCCTTGTCTCACTCACCCAAAGGTGAGCCCTGAAACAAAAAGGGGACCGGTGAATTTCACACAGCTGTGATATAACCTGGTGCTGAGTAGCCAACTCTAGCCTGCAGCAAAATGGTCATAGAGCCTGTAGTTCTGCCTCAGAAAGGTGTGGGAGCAAGATAGACAGTCCTGTGCTGCTCCAGAACCAGGGAGGTGGGTGGGAAAACTTCCTCATGGCAGCCTCCCACAAGATGCAGAGGGACACACGAGGAAACCATCTTGCGAAGCCTCCTTGATGACTGCCTTTCTTAGGAATGTTCCTGGGAAGAGCACAGGCCTTCCACCCAGATTTAAGTCATGTGGTGGTTCAAGCTTTGCCTGTGTACCCAGCGAAGTTCTCCAGGGAGCCACTGCAGGGAGACGTTCCCCTGCAGAAGGTCTTAAGTGCTAGGCCAACGGTGTAGATTTTACCCTTAAATGAATCTGGCACTCATTGCTCAAAAATTGTTGGCAGTTAGAGGAAAAATTGGAATTGGGGGAGAATATAATTTCAATAGCCATTTAAAATAACCAGTTCCTCTACTTGTCAAATGGATGTGGTGCATGATTTTAAGTGTTCCTGGGGCCATTGCTCCATTTTTAAATTGCTTGTTAAAGATGATGCACAGTAGAACAGGACAAGTTGCATTACCAACTAATGTAAATCAGTAGCTTCATTGTAAAGACTGATTTTTTTTTTGGTCTCCCTTTGTGAAATGAGTCAGAAGATGGCAATTCCCCATCACTAATCTTGTGAGATTTATCCCTAGTCCTTCAATCCTCTTCTTCAATTTGAAATGTATCTTCAAAAATCACCATATTGGATGACAAATGTATTTGTAAAATGCGAATGATAATTAAAATATAAAAGAGTGGTATAATAAATAACAAAATGAGAAAAATCCCCTAAAAAACAATTTTTATTACAATGCTCTTCTTACACCACTGATACTTTGCAATGTTTACAATAATAGCAAAATGTCAGGGTGCAGCTGGGTTGCAGTGTGTAAAAATTCCTTTTGTAGAATGCAAAATTTTCTCTGATTTTCTGTTACACCGGTAGAGTTTGTTTACTCTCTTAACCCATTCCACCAAGCAGGGGGGGGAGTTTGGAGTAGGTAATTCAGGAAGGAGAGGCAAACGTTACCAGCTGCCGTCCTCTTCTCCCTGCAATACGGTACTCACTGACCATCAATAGCCTCCCCTGTCCTGCATCTAAAACTGAGAATGGAGTCAACACACTGAACACAGTCCTTGTGCATACTGCCTTATGGGGATGGAAGGCCTGTGAAGAAATCACTGGTGGGGTTGCTTGGTCATACTCTCCATCACTGCGTACAGTAGTAGCAATGACACTTGAAGTTCAAAAACTGTTTGTTTGGTTTTTTTCCCAATTAAGGGCTCTTACGGGAACCCTGGTGACAATTTGCAGAACCTCAGGGTTCCTCAGAACCCCAGTTGAGAATCCCTGGTGTATAGGTACACAGCCTCCTTGTGTGTGTGTGTGTGTGTGTGTGCGCGCGCACACACATCCACACAGATGTTTTGTGTCTTTTAATCTTAGACTTTTCTTATTTCCACTGAATCAATAAGGCAGTGTTATATAAGGAACTGATGACACATAGGCCAGATAAGTCTGAGGTCTGTTAGGTTTACAATCAATTTTTGAAAAGACAGTTTGTCAAATTTTGCTTGGATCCCTACCAAATTGAGGAGGATACATTTTGCCTTGACAACTTGTGATGACTTAATTTGGCCCATATTCCAAGGGTAAAGACAATAGAGTTACCGACCTTATGGTTCCCTCTTAGTCTTTATTTGGTCAGGAAACCTAATACGCCATTCACATACACATACTGTTGACTGATCATGCTGACTGATCTCTGTCTCCCTCTCCTTCTCCCTCTTCCTCCCTCTCCCTCTCCTTCCCTCTCTCCCTTTCCTTCTCCCTTTTTGTTTTTTGCACGGGTTTGTTTATGCCCCAAACCACATAATCCTCTTGGGATGACTCCTGCTTCTTATACTATAATCTAACTCTTACACATAACTTGGTGCAAATGGCAAAAAAAATTTAGGCATAGAATAATAATGACCATTACAGGAAATTTCTGACAAGTCAGAATCAAGAAATGAACACATTTAACAGGAGCTCCAGAAAAATTAGAAGACAAAACATCAAGCATTCAATAGTCAGCTGAATGCTGAGACCCAAAACAAAATTCTAGCTCTCAGATAGCTTCTCTCAAAGACCGAAGTCTTCTGAAACCTACCTTCTTATATCTCTCCTTCCTTTTACACTTGTCTACATAGCAGCTGACCTTCTAAATGAGCTACCCTTTCTTCAAGGGTTTCTCAAGATCATGACAACCGCTTTTCTCTTTGTCTCTGTCCCTCTCTCCTCACACTCCCATGTTCCACCCCACGACTGGCTTTCTGTGATTATCTGGGCACAGCTTCTGAATCTTGTGAATTCAGCCACATACAAAGAGTCTAGGACCAGGACTAAGGTGAGGCAAGAGAGGCTTCTGAGATCCAAACCTTTAGGAGGACATGAGGGGCTTGTTCATGCCAGTAAATTTTGCTACGAGGTGTGCCCTTTTGCCTCACTTCTTGTTCTGATCTTGACAGAGTGACAAGTGATCTCTGAGTTTCAATTCTAAATTGGCAAGGGGAGAACATCTCTGGCACATCTTGAATCACCCTGATCCAGTCAGCAATGACCCCAGGGTTGAGGTCACATCGTAAAAACATAGCTATTGAGCGTCCGTCTCTGGGCTTTAGGAGGCAATTCTCACATAAAAAGGAAGAAACCTCAATATTTTATATTACAAATGCACTATATAAGTATTTTTATTATATTTTTGGTGCCATTTTTTTTCCTGCCCATTACGAATCTCATAACTCCTGAGCATGTACTTTGTAACATACATGAGTATCATTAGGATCCTTAAAGTTTTAGCACATCTTTCTTGTCCTTGAGGAATTTGCAAGTCCACTAGGGAGGATCATACCAGAGGCAGGATGCATCCTGAAAAGTGGTATGGTAAGCAGTTCAAATTAATTCAACTTGAAAATAAAATCTGTATTGAGTCAATACATTGTATAGAAGTTTTGAGAAGGAGAACAATAGCAAGAAGAGTTGGAAAGGATTTCCCTTCTTCACGATCTCTTTGTGGGAGGACAAATGAAACAGCAGACACATAGGCTTACCGGTGGGATCAGATCAGAAAATACCTAGAGAGCACCAAAACGTTGCATGGGACATAGGACCTTTGAAAACATTGTCTCATCTCACTAACATGAATGACAGACCCCTGAAATTTGAATTGATGCCCCTTTCTTCCAGAACTGTCCCAGGACTGAGGAAAAACATTCACAATCATTCAATTAATTAACAATTATTCCATTGACCATGAGTTTAGGTTTACATAAAACGGCCAGTAATGCTGGTTGTTGATAGAGGATCAGGTTGAGTGGGAGGATTGTCTGCAAGAAGTAAATTTTAAAGTAAGTTCAAAAAGGCATTCTCCCCTCCACCATCGACTGTCTCTAAGCACTCTCTTTCCACAAGGAAGGACTGGACATTGAGAACCGCCTTTTTGTCCCTGCCCAGCCAGAGCCACTTTATTTTCTCGAGAAGCATCTCTCCTCACAGGTCTAAACCCCAAAGCCTTTACTTTGTATTCCCCCATAAGTTAAGTGTCCCTTGGAGAATCAAGCTTTTTGAGGAGACACCCACAACTACAATGTATGTAAAGATATTATTGGAAAAAATAGTACATGCCTATGTCAATGTCTCATGGGAGAGTTTTTTTTTTTTTTAGAGCTATATTTTGGAAAGGCCTCACTCATCCACACTCCCAGGACCTGGGAACTGTTTTGTTGAGAATAATTAGAACAACAAAACTGACCGGATTGCCTTCTTTCCTGTGGCTTTCACTAATTCAGTGCCAAAATGCTCAGCTCACAAAATGCTCGACTTTTCATGCTCCAGGTTTCCTTTGTTTAAAGCCTCTGATTCTAGTTTGTATTTTCCCAGATCCTACTTTATGTTTATTTTACTCTGTATTTGTTTATCTGTAGATAGTTCAAATCCTTTGAGAAATGAGACGTAGAAGAAATGAGGGAAGGAAGAAAGGAGGAATGGAGGAGGGAAGGAAAGAAGGAAGGAAGAAAAAAAGAAACACCCCAAATTTTCCTTATAATTGAACAGAATGAAAACTGGCTGATCCAATGTATATTATAGTCTCTTTACTACAAACAACACTTTTACATTTGTCACTCCCTTGTAAAGGCATAAAATAAACAAGATCATAAAATGTTACTTTCCCCTTAAAAATAACAAATAATAAGAACGGTGAAAAGGGCAGGGAGGGATTAGAGACCAAAAAAAAAAAAAAAAAAAGATAAACACACTCACAATATACTTCTTGTTTATGTAACTGTAGCCCAGGTAGGTATGGGGACTGAAAAGCAGCACTAACCCTTCCTACAAGCTCTTTATCCTGCATTATTACCCCTTTGGGTGCTAACAAATACCCTGAGAATCAATCACATGGGTATTATCTCAGCTGAAAAATTAAAGTTCAATTTACTTAAAATCACAAAACTCGTGATTTAATACACTGTTATAATGGATAAGACAGGAGGCTGTGCGGCCAGACAGAGCTTGAATTTCCAGTTTACTATTCATTGTTCATGAGACTTGGAGCTCGTCACTTAACCTGTTTCCTCCAAGGTAAAAGGAGAATAATGGGCTGTACTCTCCGCACACCTTCCTCTCCACCCTCCAAGTGTTCTGCATACCTTGCACTGTCTCCAGGAAGTCTAACTCGGTTAGACCTAACCTAAGCCTTGTCTGGACCTTTTCTTCAGAATTTGGGACTCCCGCTCAAAGTCTCCTCTTCCACTGCAGGGCAGGAACGACCACTCACTGGTCCCTTGGCCTGTTACCAATGGTCCAGCTGACAGCCACTCCAGCAAGTGCCCTTGTTGATGAGCCTGTGCACATCCGAGCAACCGGCCTGTATCCGACGCAGATGGTGACCCTCACAGCGTCTCTGAAGGATGAGAAGGGAAATCTGTTCCAGTCCAGAGCCTTCTACAGGGCTAATGAAGCTGGTGAGGTGGACCTGAAGCAGGCTCCTTCCTTAGGAGGCGACTACGTCGGGGTCCATCCGATGGGCCTCTTTTGGTCTCTGAAGCCTGAAAGGCCTTTCATGAGGCTGCTTAAAAGGGATGTGATGAACAGCCCCTTTTCTGTCACTTTGGCCCTACACGACTTGGTTTGCCTCCACGAGCTAGATACAGATCAGCCCAGCGCCAGCGTGGTGGTGCAGCGCTGGTTCCTCCGCCATGGGACGCAGCGGGTGCAGATCCGAGAAGGCCGTGTGCGAGGGGCCCTTTTTCTCCCTCCAGGTGAGACTAATCTTTGGTGGTGGAGAAAACAGTGTTGATGGAAATGAACAAAACAGAACAAAAAGGAGCACCAAGTATTGGAGAACTAGTATTTCTCACAACCTATTAAAACTAACTTGCCCTTGTGTGTTTGTGTGTGAAGATGGAATTCATTTTTCTTGGGCTGTGCTATTTGACCCTCTTTTCACTATTTGTAATCTCGTTCTCTTCCCTCTTTCTTGTTCTCAGGAGAAGGCCCTTTCCCTGGAATCATTGATTTGTTCGGGGGCGTGGGGGGTCTAATTGAATTTCGGGCCAGTCTCCTGGCAGCCCACGGCTTTGCAGTCCTGGCATTAGCTTATTTTGCCTATGAAGACCTGCCGGAGCTACTGATGGAGGTGGACCTGGAATATTTTGAGGAAGCTGCCAACTTGCTACTAGCTCATCCCAAGGTATTTAAAGTACTTTTCCTTTTACCTTGCAACCTTATAGCAATAGAAAAAAAATATCACCGATGTCTGTTTTGCCCATTTTACCAATCTGTTTAGACTTGGGCATGAGCACAAGAGTTTACGAACTGTAAATCGAAGTTCTCATATTGACATTGTCAGTTTAATGCTGACTGGCATAAAGAAGACAATAAAAAAGGGTGAATATAAGTGCTTGTGATTTATTCACAAGTGGCTCTTCAGTGTTTTATCAGCCACCAATATCAAGTCTCCTATCAGTCACCAATTCTCAGGCTTGATGTGTTTTCAGACTTCAGTGATTATCGCAGCATGGGGTAATGCTAGCATAAATCACACTAAGGAGTCCTGAGACTAAAAACAATGCAGCAGTTTACTGTAAGAGCCAGACATGAGATCAGAGCATGATTATCAGCAAAACTAACTGATTGGCACCACCTGACTTGGCTGCCGTAGCTCTTTAGTTTCAGATCCAGGAGCAGAACTAAGCCTTAGGTAAGAGTTCAGTGTCAGGAGCTGGACTAGGGAAAGCAAGGGTGATTTTAGAACTCTTTGTCAAGCACCATTGTACTAACGAAGGTATGGTCCCTGGACCAGAGGTCTTGGCATCACCTAGGAGACTTTGAATGTAGACTCTCAGGTCCCATCTCTGTGTCAACATCTGCATTTTAACAATATCCCCAGGTAATTTGTGTGCACATTCAAGTTTGATAAGGACTGTAATAGTACATTTGAAACTTAGGTCTTTTCTAGAAATTAAATATCAGATGATCTATGATGTAGTTCACTTCAGGATGTCACAGAGTACTGGTATTTGTGGTAATGACTAAAAACAGACACAGAAGGCTAAACATCACATGGTTAGGTGTCAAGATTGGCATTCTGTTAAGTTGAACCATATTAACTTCTCATTTTCTAGTTAAAAAGTATTAAAATATCACTTATTATATTTCTTATGGTTCAACCTAACAGTGGTGAAATCATACCAGCTCACATTAAGTGACTATTTGTTAGACTCTATGCTAAATACTTTATATATACTATCTCAATTAATGCTCATGGAACTTTGTGAAATGAGCACTGTTGACATGGTCCTCATTTTTCGGATGAGAAAGCATAGTTAGGTGAAGTAATGTGCCAAAATATATGGCCAGTGATAGAGCCCCTCTGGCAATGTCTTTGCTCCAGACCTTAAGTCATCCCGACTGCCCAGCTTGTATTTTTCTCTCCCTGGAGGACCTTTCCTCTTCTCAAGGCAGAGAGCTAGGTTTCCTATTAGAGCACCATCAGCATCTTCATCTTCAGTGTCGACATCATTATCAGCAACAAACGTGTGATCTTTCTAAGCCTTTTTGTCTCTTTTGAAAAGATTGCCTATAAGGAATTAAATCCCATCCAAAATATTTTCAGGTTATTATTTTTTTCATTTCAAATTTAACTATATGTGACATTGAGAAGAAAGGGCAATTGCCAAAATTCCATTTGGAATTACATTCAGCAGAAGATGTTCAACTCCCCCTTCTCCCCCTTGATACTGTTGTAACCTTGAGTGAGGCTGAAACTTACTGAATCTCAGTTTTCTTGGAAGGACTAACTGAGACAATATGTGTAAAGCACTTAGCTTAGAGTCTAGCACAGTGATTTTCAACCTTTTTCATCTCATGGAACACATAAACTTATCAATAAAATTCTCTGCCACATCAAAAATATTTTTTTTTGCTGATCTGACAAAAAAATAGTAATAAGTATAATTTTGATTCTTTCACACCAGATGGCTATTGTTGTATTGGCTCTTGTTATATTTTAATTTGGTAGTCTAAGGGAAAAGAGGTCCGTGCCCCTGACTAAATAGTCAGGTATTGCATGTTTTAAAAATTCTTGTGGCACACCAGTTGAAAATCGCTAGTCTGGCATATAATAAACTCAATAAATCCACCTTGTCATCTTTGCCTATCTTCTGTCTTACCTCTCCTATCCCCCACATCCTCAACCAAACCCAAAGTGTTTTAGATTTTCTACTCCTGAATCTTTCTCAATACATCACACGCTCTTTACCTTCCCTGCCACCGTTAGTTTGTTCTCTCATCATTGCTCACCTGTGATATTGCAGTTGTGCGTTAATCAACTTCCTCTCTCCACTTACAGCCCTTCTCTCTCACTACGCCATGCATTCCTCAAACAGATGTTTCCCCAATGAGGATGTACACTAGATTTCCTAGGAAATATTTTGTAGTATCAAATTCTTGGGCCTCCTCAGCCCAGTTGTAGTACAAACTTGAACAATTGGATCTCGGAAAGCTCTAATTTCGAAAAGTTTTTTTTTTTTTCAGGTGATTCTGATGACAGAAAGATGTTGGGAGTACAATTATGAGCAATATAAACATACCAGGTGGCTCTGTTTTTGCTGTTTTCTGTCCAGAATGCTAGTCCTTTCTTCCCTCATCTCTTAAACTCTTCCCTCCTCTCTGCTCCCTCAGCCTATCACTGAAGGAAGGACTCCTTCCTGTGGTTTACTACTTTTCCTATTGGCCTGGGTACTGAAATTCATCTCCGTAGAATCCAAGTCTTTCCTCATTAAGAATAGCCTTTGGATTAATGGATGTGCTGTGAAATGCAATTTCAACATGAACTACACTAACGTAGTATTTGAAAGAACCTAGGAAAACTCTTTTCCTAGCTGGAGAGAAGAATTTGATTCTTCAGAAAGCTAACCTGCCTTTGCTCTTGCCACGTTGAATGTTGCTGGTGCATTAGATTCCTTAGGCTTTTATCGAAGTCTTCCTTTGATGATCCTCAATAACAGTCCTGCCAGATAAGTAATGTTATCATCATCCCCATAAGACAATAGGGCTTAGAGAGGGTAGGTAGGTAGTGTTCTCAGTCACAAAAGCTGGTGAACCCAAGTGCCAGGACTCCCGCCTCGCATTTTCTGCCATCATACTAGTTTATGGCCTGTAGCACAGCTCCTTTTTAGCCTGTAAAATGTTCCCTTTATTTTGTATTTCAGGTCCAAGGGCCAGGAATCGGAGTGACTTCTGTGAGCAAAGGTGCAGAGATCGGGCTGGCCATGGCCTGTTTCCTGAAGCAGGTGGTAGCCACCGTCTGCATCAACGGGCCCAATGCCATCTTTGACTTTCCGCTCAGATATAGGGATCTGGTTATATTACCCGTCCCCTCATTTCTGGAGCACGTGCAGACTGATGTCTCAGGGGCTATGAATTTCCGCAACTTTAGGGGAGACCCCCAGGATAAACTGAATCAGCAGAGCGTGTTGCCAATTGAGAAGGCCCAGGGTCAGATTCTCTTCATAATAGGAGAGAATGATCAATCCATGAAGAGCAGAGAATATGCTACACAGGCCCTGGAGCAGCTGAAGAATCACAGGAGAAACAATGGAAGGATGCTGGCCTACCCCGGGGCAGGCCACCTCATAGAGCCACCCTATTCGCCCCTATGCTACGCTTCCCGGAACAAAAGCACAGGTTCCCTAATCATGCTCTGGGGAGGGGACCCTGCTGCCCATGCGGCAGCCCAGGAGCATGCCTGGGGAGAGATCCAGAAATTTTTCAGACAACACCTCATTCAAACCAGAAGCCAACTCTGAGCAAGGGCCAAGGGTGAGATAAGGTAGGGAGACAAAAAATTAGGATAAGGCAGGGAGGTGGTGAGGAGAGGGGGCTCTCCTGATTTCTCTATATTCTCAATCATCTTGAATGAACTGGAATAAAATTCGTTGAAATCAAAGGACCAGAGCACAGGTACATCCAAAGTATTTCTGATAAATTGTATGTACTTCACATTTTCTTAAATTGAATCTTAGTTTATATGCACCAGGATATGTTGCTATTTCCATGCAAGCTGAATAATCTTTTATACCCCAGTGAGGGATACCTTGCATCCAGGTATTGCCAATCTAGATAAATTCCCTGGAACTTCCAAGTTATTTGTGGAAATATGTTTTCTGTTTAAATTATTTTGAGCTGAGTTTCTGATATTTGATACGAAAAGTTCTCATATCACCATCAAGTGTAAGGCTTGCTATAGATTGTCAGTAGATATTTAATTTCATTTTTTTTAAAGATAGGGAGGCTTCCTTTTATTCCTAAAATATACTTCTTATTAGAATTTCAATCAGGAATCAGATTGAATTTAATCAAGTGTCTTTGTAGAATTTATTGAAATTAAATGAATTAATGTATTTAAAACACTTTAAACAGTGCCTGGCACACAGAAATTTCTATATGAGTTAGCTATTATAATTTTCATAGTGTTTTCCTCCTTCAATCTTTTAGTGTGCTGAATTACATTCATTAATGAACTAATTTTGCTTATTCACTTCAATAGATAGATTTCCAAATTGCCCAGTTTTAAAATTTATTGTGGCGCCAATAAATTTTCACCCATATTTTCTGGAACACATTTTTCTCTTATAATTTTTCACATATTCCCTGTTGTTTTATCTGCATGCTTTCTCTTTTTCCTTTCAGTCTGACTTGACAAACACCTTGTCTCTTTTATCGATATTTTTCAAGAACAGCTTTAGGTTTATCCATCAAATCTATTTTTTCCTGATTCATCAATTTCTGTTTCTTTAAAACAATACCATATGATTTCACTCATACATGGAATCTAATGAACAAACTGAACTAACAAGCAGAATAGAGACAGACTCATGGATGGAGAGCAGGCTGACAGCTATAAAGGGGCACTCAAGGGCGGAGGGATCAAGCAAAAAGGAGAGAGGACCCACATGGGCACGGACACAATGTGGTGGCTATGGGAGGGGACGGAAGATAAATGGCAATGGAAAAATACAATCCAAATAATAAAAAAAAAATTAAAAAATGTATTTCTTCTGTCCTTTTGTGTTTATTTTTTCTGGCTTATTGATATGCAGTGTTCTTATTTTGTTAATTTCTAAAGAGCTTCTAAATTACTTTTTCCCCCTCTTAAACCTACGAGTAATTTTACCGAAGCACAAGGTATCATCCTATAGATTAATTGTTGGTTATAAGGAAGAGGATGGGGAATGATGTCTCTTTGCAATGGAGGGGTCAGACTGTCACCACCTGAACCCACCAATCAAACTCAGCATCTCCAAAAATGGTCAGTTTTGCATAATGTGCTTCATGATGAGATGTACAGTGGAATGCCCAGCACTTTTTAGAACTACTTCTAACAGCACTGTTAAACTTCAACCTAGTCAAGCCTTTAGATCAGAAGTCTTATTAATACGGTGGCTAGATAGCAAATTAAACAGCACTTACAAAGACATCACACAAATCCAGATTATGAGTCATTCTGTGATGTGGTCTCTCTTACAAGTTGATTGCCAACTAGCCTGGCCTGGTCTCTTCACAAGTTTGCTGCATGAAAAATCTGAATTTTTTTACTTTGTGGATTTTTTTTTTTTTTTTTTTGCATTGGAGTGAGCTGGAGAACTGTTCAGAATTAAAAGAGTTTAACATATTCAACCAGATGCTATGTGTAGGCCTGGTTTGAACAAAGTAACCATAAAAAGGCAGGAGTTAGGGGGTGGAGGGATCAAGCAAAAAGGAAAAAGAACTCGTGGGCACGGACAATAGTGTAACTGTGGGAGGGGAGGGAACAATTTTGGGAAAATTAGAGAAGTTGAATATGGACTGGCTATTATATGATACTACAATATTATTATCTTGTTAGGTGTCATAAAGGTATTGTGGTTATGTAAAAAAGTCATGATTTAGAGATACATATTGACATATTTAGAGGTGAAGGGTCATAATATCTAGGAATTTTTTTAAAATACAAGAATATGGCAAATGTGAACAATTATTATATCTAGATGATGGGTATAGTGAGCTAGGTTTATTTGTTTTCTCTGCAGCCCAAGTGTCCATCAGTAGACGAGTGGATGAAACAATTATGGGACATTTACACAGTGCAATACCACTTGGCCATAAAAAAGAAGAAAATTTTACCCTTTTTGAAAGCATAGATGGACCTGGAGAACATTATGCTAAGTGAAATAAGCCAGTCGGAGAAAGACAAATACAATATGATTTCATTCATATGTGGAATCTAATGAACAAACTGAATTAACAAGCAAAACAGAGACAGACTCACAGAGAACTGGAGGACAACTAGCGGTGGGGGAGGTTAGGGGGTGGAGGGATTGAGCAAAAAGGAAAAAGGACTCCTGGACACAATGTGGTGATTGCAGTGGCGGGGAGGGAGTGTAAGGGGGATAAAAGGTAATGAAAAATACAATAAAAGTTTTTTAAAAAGTTAAAAGAAAACTAAGGGATATAATCAATGTATTTACCTTTCTGCCTGTAAAGACAAGCACTTCAGCATATACTACATCTTTCCCTCCATGATATCCCCTTCAACTTCAGATTACTGATTTAATTAACTAATTAATTTAACAAAAAGATTTTATTTATTTTTAGAGAGAGGGGAGGGAAGGAGAAAGAGAGGGAGATAAATATCCATGTGGGGTTGCCTCTTGCATGCTTCCCACTGGGGACCTGGCCCGCAGCCCAGGCATGTGCCCTGACTGGGAATTGAACCAGCAACCTTTCGGTTCATAGGCCAGCACTCAATCCATTGAGCCACACCAGCCAGGGAAGATTACTAATTTTAAAATGTATATATATTTTTAGAGAGAGGGGAATGGAGGGAGAAAGAGAGGGAGAAAAACATCAATGTAAGAGAACAACATCAATAGGTTGCCTCTTGTATACTCTCTGACCAGTGACTGAACCTGCAACCTTGGCATGTGCCTTGACTGGGAATCACACTGGCAAACTTTTGCTTTGCGAGATGATGTCCAACTAACTGGGCCATATACTCTGGTTTCTCTTCAGGTCATATAAATCTTTCACCTTTTACCAACTAACTGGGCCACACTAGTCAGGGCTCAAGTTATTTATTTTTTTACAATCAATAATTATTTAATGTGACTATGCTTTAATAGTTTCTTTGCTCATCACTGTTTCTTTCAAACTGTCTTTTAAATTCTTGGCTTTATCATCCATTTGGCCATTTTTCCAAAGTAGAAACTCAAGTTATTATTTAAAAAGATTCATGTTCTGTTCTGTCTATGTTTAGCTCTCACTCTTTAATTGTAATTTTTACACACGTAGGATTTGATGTTAACAATTATTTTCTCTCATTATTTTGGTCTTTTTATTTCGGCATCCATGGTTGCCAATGAGAAACCTGATCCTTATTACTTTGTGGCTTTTTTCTTCTTTCTTGAAAGCTTTTTACAATTTTCTCTTTGCTCTTTATGTTTTGAGAGTCCATCAAAATATGACGGGGGTGGTTTCATGATTTCTATTTTATTTTTCTTGGTAGTCGATGGGCCAAAAATATCTCACGTTCATGCCTAAAACCATCACAAGCATAGAAAGGAGACCACCATACCAACTTAGGCAATCAAGATTTACCCATGGGTATAGAGATGAGCCAAGCATCAATTGAAGAACATGTCCATTTGGTGGACAATGAACAAAAATGCGATCCACTACTAGCAAGGGCTACTGAAGTGCCTAAAAGCATAGTTTGCCCCACCTGCTTTTCCTAGTCCCCTAATTATTTTCATAACAAATGGATATGGGGCTGGGATGTTCCCTTCTGGTTTCTGACACATTTCAAGTGTTTTCTGCAACTTATGGACAAAGATTGCTTCTGGAATGACATGTCTAGACATTTTGATTCTCCAAGTTGTTGTCTCCTTCCATGTATACTTGGGCTGACTGCAGAAGTCCCTCTAGTTTAAATTAATATGTGAAATACTTGCCATATTCCTATTTATGTGCATATGTGAGTCCCAGTGACTTTTACCCTACCATATTCCCTTTCAAGGGTGGTTAGACAGTCTCCCTCAAAGGCAACAGTTTATGTGTCTTTGAATACACAAATAATTTATAATTCTGGACCTGGTAGCCCTTCCAGTCTCTGGACTTTATTTATTCCTAAGGCTTGCCACTCTGATGTTTCATTCTTATGTTTTAACCATGACTGGGTATTTTTCTCTCATTCTTATATGTGCTCTTCACAGATTTCTATTGTTTCTGGCAGAAAGTTCCCTTAGTTTCTAAATCTCTGTCACATACATTGCTGGTAACCTAACCTTCCTTTTTTCTAGTAATATCCAGCTTAGAAAACGTTAGACTTACTCCAGCCCCACAGGTGAGTGCTAATTGGTGTAGACAAATCATGGTGGTCTTTTTTTCTTCATCCAGTGATGACTGGAGGCATGGCCATGTGACATCATTTTGGCCAGTGAGGTGTCAGGGACATCTGAAGATAATGGAAATGGTCTGAGAGAGACATTTGGGAATTTTGGGGGACATTTTCCTTGTCTTAGAAAACAAAGAGATGGCAGCTTCTCCCTTTGGATCCTGTTTTGTCTTAAGGCTGAGGACACTGGGGCCATGAGAGGAGCCAGTCCCAGGACAAAGCCAATACACAAGGTCTGAGTCAAATGAGTTGCAGAGAAATAAATGGAACTGGGGCTTTAATTATGTCTGTTTCATAGTTGCTCAACTTTTGGGTTTCTTGTTATTGGATTCAATACGTCTCCTCATTTGTTAAAGCTATTGACACTGGGATTTTCTGTCATTTGTACTGAAGACTATTTGCGAACACTTTGCCCCGCATGGAAGCTCACCTTCTGTTGGATCTGGACTAAGGTGGTATAGAAGGATACATTTGCACAACTGAACTTTCTAAAAGAAAATTGAGTGAGAGGAATTAAAAATTAATAACCATCTTGAATTTATTTATTAGACTTTTAAAGTTTTGTAAGCTCATATAATATGCCTAAGCTAAGGATTATATATGGTAGTGAGAGGTGACTGTATGACACTTTCTTTTTTTAAAAAAATACTTTTTTAAATTTATTTTTAGAGAGAGGGAAAGGGAGGGAGAAAGAGAGGGAGAGAAATACCAATGTGCAAGAGATACATTAATCGGTTGCTTCTCATACACACCCCACCCCCCCGAACTGGGGACCAGGCCCACAACTCAGGTACATACCCTGACTGGGAATCTAACCAACAACCCTTTGGTGTGCAGGCCAGCACTCAGTCCACTGAGCCACACCAGCCAGGGCTGTATCACATTTTCTTTCTTTCTGATGGGATAGTGGGGGAAGAAGTGAAATCTCCTACAGTGAGTAGAGCCACTTCCTGATTGGAGAAGAGCTGAAAATAAATCGCCTATTCTGCAGAAACACAGACACAAAAATGCTTATTGAATGTTTACTGTATACTAGAGACTCTGCTGAAAGCTTTCATGAACTCTCTGATTTAGTTCTCACATCAACTTTATGGCGTGCCTTCTCCACTCACTGCCCTCACTTTCACAGTGGGCACCCAGTGAGGCTGGGGGTTCAGCTTACAGTGTAATTTAGCCAGTCACAAGACAGGATCCTGGGTTTGACTTTTAGCAGCGTCAGCCCTGTGGCTACAGGATAAGGATATTCTTCAGAGCACACCTAGAAGCTTTCAGATTATTTATAGGGCACATAAACTGGAATTAAAATCCCTGATCCTCTCCTTTTCTTTCTTCACTTGTCCAGCGACATTAAGAACAACGAGCTCATCTCATTATTATATTCATTTACCAGCCACTCTCTGTGTTAGTCAAGGTTCTCCAAAGAGACAAAACCAACAGCATGTATATAGAGGGAGGAATTTATTTTGTAAGGAATGGCTCATGCAATAATAGAGGCTGAGAAGTCCCAAGAGCTGCAATGGGCAAGCTGGACCTGAGGAGAGCTAACGGCATAACTCCAACCTGAGCCTGAAGGCCTAAGAACCATGAGAGCCCATATGTGAGTTCC